GTCTAATAACTCATTAATTATGTATGAGTTTTTGAAGTAATGTTTAAAGGCCGACAATGAGGACTTGACGGGGTTTCAAAGTCCGCGCAATTAGTTCCAGTCCGAGGCGCTAGCCGAGGACTGGAACTAATTGCAAGGACTTTGAAATCCCGTCAAGTCCGAATTGGAGGCCTTTGAACGACTTCAAAAACTCATTAATTATTCGGGAGGGAAAAAAAGCGAAGGAAATACATATAACAGAAATATATTGATTTATTGCATCTCCACTAAGGTTTTCAGTTTTCATAATTTTGAATACATGAAGCACCGTTTGTTGTTCTTCAATTCCCGGACGGCTTTCTGAAACAAAAGCTATTCAAATTGTCTTTGTCTGCTATTCATGGCATTCCTAATGAGCCTAATCCATAAGATTTATAAGTATGTTATCTTCCGAGAAATCGCATCAGAAACTCGGTGGTGTAGTGGTATAAGACGGCGCATATAGACTGGACGGTTGGGGATCGAGTCGTGAGGGAGTCATGTATCAAAGAACGTTTTTCACTAAATTAATGTTAAACTGATTATTTCTAATAATTTGATTATCTTTAGCTAGTAGTAGTTGGAAACATGGTAGAAGTAACTGGAAATAAGGTAGAAATAGCTAGAAATAATGTAGAAGTAACTTGAAAAAGGTAAAAGTAACTGGAAATAAGGTAGAATACAAGGTACGAGTACTTCCTTTGGTTTCAAGTTACTTCACGTGGTACAAATTACAATCAGGGATTGGCTGGATACCTCATGAATAATTAATGAGTATGAGAATTGTTTTGATTTGAATATTTTAGACAAAATATTTTAGAACAATTTTTCATCAATTCTAAAACTCATGAATTATTCATTAGACATTCTTCCAATTGTATTCCCAATACAGATCGTACAACTATGGGTCACATGACAGAGCCTATAACTCAAGTAATGAACACTGATTAATTTAACATGAGTTCTATTACTAACCAATTCAGTTAGTTATAACACTCATGCATAAACCATCAGTGTTAAGTAACTGATTTACAGACACTCGATATGTGCCCAACGTTAACACTAGAAAAGTTCTCAGTTTTAGACTCTCGTCATAGAACTTTTAATTGCCGCGGCTGCTCAACACAAGAAGTTCATAAACAGTGTTGGTTTTTCTCCAGATTTTCCCATGTATCTCCAAGACTACACCTGCTTTCTGGCTTCATCGTCGGCTAAATCATTGAAGCGAAAGGTGACTCTATACTTTCCTTTCTTGATACATTTTCCCTCTAACTCTAAATGAAACTTCAAAAGCCTTCAAAAGTGCTAAAGATCGTACTGCTGTCATGTTAGTAATACCATTCAGTATTTTCAGTGAATCGGAGCAATCCCTTGACTGAATGATCCAGATTTTTTTCCGAATTTTTTTAATATTACAATATCATTTAGATAAGCAATAAATGAAATTCCTAACTTAAGAGTCAGTATCTCAAATAATGTAAAGCTATGAATATGAGGACCGCATGGAATTGCCTCCTTCTAAGCACTATAACTTTCTTTCATTTTCTATATCATTTCAAATAAATACCAAGTATTCATTAGAACAAATCTGCTCATTTCAAATAATTCATAAAAATCAAAGTTTGAATTCATTTTGATCGGCGACGTAGGGATTTCGTAGCATTATTCACAGTACACTATACTAATGATGGACAACTTTTTTATTTTATTCCCACTTTATTTCGTTAACCAAAAATTTATAATTAATCATCAAAATGAGATCATTCAAACACTACAGTCACCGTTAGTCTAATGAACCCGACGTAAATACGTAATTATAACTACGTAAAATAATCAAACAATTCGTTTGCTTGTACTGGTCGTTAACATATTTCATGGTTTGCATAATGAAGGAACGATCGCTACTTCACCATGTCTAATACCAGCTTTGACGTCATCCCAGGTGAGGACTTTCCCGGGTGCATCACTTGTGCATGTTTTCGACATTTCAGCGATCTCAATTTCCCACAATACTCTATTCCAGATGTTAATCTCCGTCATTTCACCAACATAAGACTGGGATTCGACAAACCCACCACCTACACGGTCCTGTTCTTGTCCGATGATGAGTGACCCCGAGGCTTTGGTCTCATAACCTTTTTTCAGGTACATCCCTCGTGCCCGTCGAACCCCATCCTGATAAAGTTCAGTTTGGCCATAGGAATTGTCCCATGTTGCGCAGATATGGTGCCAATTACCGTCATTGGTGGACACTTTTGTTTCCCTAGGTAATACAGACACATAATAAAAACAATAATAAACAGTTCCGGTCTCATACATCTTTGTTGTTTACAATCCGTCGATAATGCTAGGTGGTATTCGCTTTGAAAAATAGGGGAAGAAACTCCGAATAACTTTCCAGCTGATTATATGACATCCGATGACATCAAGAACAATAAAACATGTTCAGAAACTATATACACACCTATTTAAAATCGGTTTCAGGGAGGGGAAATTAAACTGCACGACTGTAAGGGTCTATAACTATGTTGCTTTGACAAAGAAAATATGAAGACCAAAGACCAAAGACTACCTTACATTTTAAATCAGTTGTAGGCATTTTCATAAAAATAATCGAATGCACATCGATTATTTTGAACTTGCCTCGTTAAACCTCATGTTATATTGGAGTTATTTACCATTGCGAACTTCCAATCCAAAAGAGCAGCGATTCTGGATTATCCAAAAGAATCTCATTATCTGTTCCTGGTACAGCATAGCTTATCATGGTTCTGTGGTCAATTTGATTGTAAACTGGTGCAATCATCCAAAGGCACACAGTGAGACTTGTCATGCTTGGTAATTTCCTCTTAACCAAGATATAGTCGGTGGTTGATTCACGAGGAAATTGGATGTTATTGGTTGCTGTGTAACATCAGATAAGGGTTATAACAAATATTGAAATGAAAGAAGAAAGTTATAGTGCTTAAGGCTGATTTACACAGCACGATTGTCTCGTGTGATTTGTAGTATACGACTTGAATCGCGCAGTGTAAATGCCCCTCACGACTTGTCTACAACAGTCGTACGCAACCTACGACTTGTAGTAGGTTTTTGAAACACTGCTTAAAATCCTACGACTTGTAGTAGGAAATTGGAACCGGCTACCTTCATTCTTTTAAATGCATTATGCTACAATGCAGGTATTTAATAATAGACCGAATCAAGGTTACCCGCGACATCTTGGAAGGGGTGCAACTAGACTGGGGCGAGCGCGCGGCCAACCATACATTCTCTTGCAAAAATTCGCAAACAAGTTCTTTATGTCGACTTTATTTAGCTTTCAAGGTTAAGTTTCGCCGTTCAGGCACAAATGTCACAAATGCTTTGTAAGCTTAAATTTGTTTTTTTAATAAAAAACCTTTATTTACAAACCAATTCTAAAAATACACTAAATTATATACAATTTCTTAATGATATAAATATATAATAGTAGTATGATCAATGATAAAAATGTTCTATATACAAATAAATACGGGTTTTGAGATATTAAAGGAAAAAATATGATATTAAATATAGAATCTACTAAGAAAAAACGAATTATAATATTAAATAGAAAATAATAAAATTTATGCTAAAATGTCTAGACAATATCTGCATTAACACTGTTCAATTTAAAGTCACTATTAAACTGTCTGTTTTTAAAAGGTATTCGAGATCCTCTTATACATAAAATGGCTGATCTCAGAATTTCAAAGCTTAGTCTAGTGCGCACCCATGTCATGGTGTCAGCATACGACTCTCCTGTTTTAGAGGCCAGTTTCTCAGCTAAGTTCTTTAGGAATAGCTGGCACTCAGTCCCCATGCCTCCATTTGTACCAAAAACCAGTGGTCAACATCTAGTATTCTTTGCTGGTATTTCCTTTTCTTTTCTTTTTCTTGCTCTCTGAAGATTGTAGCCGTGGTCTTGTTTGTGTTGCTAGAGGAATTGACATGCGTCACACGAACGTCGAAAAATGCAGTCACTCCTCTATTCCAGAAGCCACCAGCTTTAATGTCGAGCCTGGCCTCATTACTAGTGTTCGTAGATCGCAAATCGAACATCTCACCATCCAGTGGGATAAGGTGTGGTTCAGCTTCAACATTGTTGCAAACTTTGTTGAGCRAGCCAGTAAGTAGATCTCGAACTCCGTCGTGTCTTTGTGCTACAAATCCACCCTTTTTGCAAGATAGGGCGTGATTTACTGAGAATACTGAACCACAGGTGCAATAGCTTGGTAATTCTGTCAACGGTAGGTTGTAGCGTAGACGCAGTGAGTCTCTAAATTCTTGCTTGTTTAGAGATAGCCCTTGTTCTTTTATTGGCAATGAGTTAAGCCACGAGCTTGCTCCTTTATCCCTGGCTTGTTGTACAAAAGGCAATAGATCAGGTGGTAGCGTTGCGTCTATTTGATCCACTCTGTCTTTCAAACGTGCCGACTTCATTGATTGCTGTTGTTTTTTCAGTTCCTCCTCTTGATTTGGCAGTGTCGTGCTTTGTTGCTTGATGGCCTGAACATGAGGAGTTGATATCTTCACAGATGCTTCAAACTGTAAGGGGGCTTCATCTCTGAGTGATTGAATACCTAAGCCTCCTTGTGATGGTGGTAGAATGATGATGTCAAGTAAGTTCTCTGGTAAGGGCTCTTCCTGTCCGAGAAGTGTAGGCATCAGGGTTTCAAAGATAACCTCTTGAACGGGATCTGTGTATTCAGCTAGAGATTCGATTGTTCTCATATAGAAGTTAAACTTTGATTTGTAACCTTTCGTATAAGCAATGTATGCTGCGTGTGGATAGCTTTTAGCGATTTCAGATAGTAGTGTAAGCTCTTCTTCCCATTTGGATACCTTTTCGTTGCAGTACTGGTCTTTATAAGACTTTGATCCAATTACCGCCCCAAGATGGCGCTTCCCTTCGGTTGTCACATTTACTTCTCCTTTAAACACAGAATTTGCCTCAGTCAATAGTTCTTGTGACTTAACAATCAGCCAGCTTTTGGAACCATTTACAAGATACCCATATTTTAAGCCTTCTCTCTTGAGATGTTCGTACCATTCATGAAGTACTGAGACCACACCTGCTCCAGCGGAGTCATCCGCAAACCATACTTGCTTGATAGTTGGTAGAGTCATACGCAACGTATTAATGATCAACGATGTGTTAATTGAATACCAAGGCATCGCTAGAGGATCACCTTGAGTAGTTCCTTCTTGAGATAGAATTTCACTTCCTCCTTGAACAAAAAGCCTTGAAGGATTCCTATATGTGTTGATCAGGTATAAGGACATTTCGTTACAGATGATCCGTATATTATGTAGGGCGGCTGATCGATTCATCTGATTAAACGCATTGCTTGCATCAATCAGCAAAATTCCATCGGTTTCTTCTTCAATAAAGATTTCCCCCATGGCGTGGATGGCTGCTTCGGCTCCGGCACTGTATCCTGCGCATACTTGAAGGGGACCGGCTGCTTCTTTGATTTCTTCTTTGAAGAAGGCAGAGATGGTTTTGCCTATAATTCGTCTGAGTACCTCACCGACTCCTATTGGACGTACCCCAGGATTCTTGTCTAGCGGAATTAGTCTGCATGACGTAAAGCCCTCGAGTAGTGCAGGATGGTAAGATGTTTTCAGCAGATTTCTCGTCATGGTAGCAATCTCTTCTCTTAGCAGCTTTCCCTCTGAGTTAAAGTTCTTCGAGCAAAGTAATCTTCTGTACAGATCTGCATCCATACCCGAGGGGCCCGCAGATCCCTTTGTTCTCAGGGCTGATGTGTAAATCATTATCTCGTCGATTTGATCGAAGATGCTTGGTGGGCAGATGTCTATTGGCCCATGAAGCAGGGATTCCTTTGCAATTTCAGCGGGTGGTGGGTGCTTTGCTTTCAGCTCTTCCATCATTTCGGGTGACAATGGCAGTACTCCAGTAGAACTTTCCCGGTCGAGAAGCTTGATGGCTGCTGATGGAAGCTTGATGGCTGCTGCTTAAATTTGTTTAGTTTTCTACTGAATTCGCAAAAAAATGAAAATATTTTGTTTCTCAAGATCTAGAAAACGTGAATAAAATGAAAAAGTTGTTGGATACCAAAACAATTGGACCTCTCGCCCTCATGGGCTACGTTGAACGGTAGCCCATTTTGGCTTCGGGTCTAATTGTTAATATTAGATATAGATAAACACCTGTTTTCAAAATTGACGGACATGTTGATTGGGTTAACTCMCAATCTTGTTCTTTTTCAAGTCTATCTACGTGCTCACCCCACCTCAGGACACTCCCGTATATAATTCTTTTGCACATTTGTGCTATTTGAACGATCTCACTCACGGCAGTACTCTATTCCACAGTTTTTAAATCAAAATGCCCGTTATCTCACCAAGAGAAGTTTCGGGTATTTAATTCCAAAACTTTTCAACGACTTCAATTTTTACCAAAAGAGCGCTATTTGCGATATAGTGTCTGAGGAAAAGACAGACCTATTTATTAATCTGGCAAATGCTTTCTTTATCAGGTATCACTTCGATATTGGATAGGATAAAACACGGTAAGCAGGGACACATTATTGTTGTTGTTTAGCCTCTAGGAAACAAACCTTATCGAAGACCAGAACTGCAGATTAAAAGAACTAAGGTTTACTATCATCAATTTAGTGGCACTGGACATTAAGATAAAAAGAAATGCGCGGAAGAGGGCAAATTTCAAGCCGTATGTTTCTTAGCTACGCTCACCGCAATATCTTTTCGTATAGAAATCTCTTCGATCGTGTCTTTTATTATGACCTTTTTCAAGGAAATCCATGGCAAACTCGCATTTACCCTTACAATTATGACTAATTTGACCTGAAATTCAATGAATCAGTCCCTCAGTCTAATAAGCAAGCCTTACTTGTGTTTAAAGCTATTCTTTGACTGTTTCTGATTTAAAATTACACCCGATTTCAAATGAGTGCGACTGGATCTCGAATTTTTTTTCGGACACTAAACTTTCACTCGACCGTCATTCACTCGACCGCTTGGTAACCTGGCACAGCTTGAAGCGGGTAMAATTATCCWAGTATAAAAACCATGGTTAATGTATGTCTGTGGGCTAAATTCCTACGGTTTGTGATCGCACTACAAAACGAACTTATTGTAAAAAACTAGTTTCGGTTTACTTAACCTTCTCAGCTCACAATTACAACGAAACAGTTGAAAAATAAATAGCGTGACAAACACTGACAAGCGCGCGCACTTTAAATTGCTTTTAGTGTTCGTAGGCTGTTCTTTGTTGATTTTACTAGTTTACTGATTAAAATGAAGAGGTTAATTATCGGACGATATTCGGTGGAAGGTTATTTACCATGAACTTATTTACGGTTCAAGCATTAAGGAAACTTGTAGAGCGTTATTTGTAGAAAACGTTTGTTTCTAAAATTCGACAACTTTACAAACGTACAGGAAATGTTGCTGTGCATGCACGGCATGGAAGGCCTTGACTTCTCACATGTAAGTGTCATTGTAAACTTGTATTCAATCAATCAGGGTTTTTACAGTAATACGAATAAGAATATATTTACTTCTTCGAAAGAAGGTTACATTTAAACATAAGTTACTTCGTTTAAACCTTTAATTTAAACAACAATGTGCAATTATTATTTTGCTTGCTTGATAATTTTTTTATTGTAAACTTAAATTGTTTACATAACGAAAGAAAAGAAAAAAATGTGTATTTTAGCTCAACATATAAGAATATCTTTTCAAGATGCAGACCTCAAGTTCATGGTTCTTGCAAAACCTGAACTGTGTCTTCCGTGAAACACAAGGACCACAGGTATCTCGAACAAAGGCCACCGCTTCTTCCTCCATAATTCTAAATGCGAAAGTCCCGCTACAGAAAGGTCAGGAATCACTTACTAAACACGTGTGCCTGGTTACCAAGCGGTCGAGTGAATGACGGTCGAGTGAAAGTTTAGCGTTCAAAAAAAAATTCGAGAGTTACCAAGCGGTCGAGTGAATGACGGTCGAGTGAAAGTTTCAATTGTAGCTTCAATTCTTGCCCCTTTAGTTGACCAATCACCTCATGTCAAGAACACTCAAGATTTTGTCAAAAAAATCAAGGATGTGCGTGTTACCAACAATGAAACCATAACATCGTATGACGTCTCCGCTCTGTTTACTAGTATCCCTCCTGACGCGGCAGTCAAGATCGTTCGGGATGTTTTATCTAAAGACTCCTGCCTATCACAACGTACCAATCTTAATATTGATCTGATTGTGGAAATGA